GGGGTTCCCTTGCTCTCTGACCCCCTTTCCCAGCCCAGGGGGGTTCCCTTGCTCTCTGACCCCCTTTCCCAGCCCAGGGGGGTTCCCTTGCTCCCTGACCCCATTCCCTGTCCCCAGGGCACGAGCGTGCTGTCCCCGTTCCTGCACATCGGGGCCGTGCTCGCCCTGGCCGTGATGATCTACAAGAAATCGGCCGTGCAGCTCTTCGAGAGACACCCCTGCCTCTACATCCTCACCTTCGGCTGCGTCTCCGCCAAGATCACCAACAAGCTGGTGGTGAGTGCTGCAGGACCTGCCCCTTCCAGGCTCCATGGAAACTTCTGGCAAAACTGGGAGTTCCTGGGGGTTCCAGTGGGTAACTTGTGCCCTTTGGAGCCCCGAGGAGGCGATCTGGGGAGCCTGGAGCTGCAGCAGAGCCCTCCTGTGTCTGAAAGGGCAGCTGAAGGTCCCCAGCTCTGCTCCCCCAGCTCCTGGTCACCACAAAAACAGCGGTTCTGTGCTCGTGGGGGAAGAGCTGGGAAAGGGGCTGGGAAAGAGCTGGGACAGGGCTGGGAAAGCCCCTCGTGGAGAGGGAGGGAGGAGGTGACACAGCTCTGGGACGCTCACTGAGGGTTTAACTCCGAGCTCTGGAGGGAAACAGGGTTGAAATGATTCCCAGGGAGCAGGTGAGTGAGGTTCAACAGCCCCTCCCTCCCACCCTCCCTGTCTGGGGCAGCTGGGACAGAATTCCTGGTGGAAGGAGAGTTTATCCCTTCCCAAGACCCGTTTCCAGCTGGGCCGTGCAGGGAGGATGGAGCGTGGGAGCCCATCTGTGCAGGGAGTGAGGTGGGAAGGCCTCACTTGGGCACCAAAACATCATCAAATCATACCCAGAGAAAGGTGGGGACCTCATGGAATGGGAAAAAAGAGGTGGAGGGAGAGAGAAACTCCAAAAGTCTCTGAATTGGAAGCTTTAGCAGCTGTAAATTTTGTTTCCAGGCTCAGCTAAACTTTCCAAATTTGACTTTCAACTTAAAAAAAAAAATCACCTTTCTGCTCCCCTTTCCCTGGTTTGTTCCTGGCAGGAGGAGCAGGTTGTGGGCTGGAAAACACGTTGGGTTTTTCCCTGGGCTGCATCCTTTGCTCTAAATAAAAGCTGTTTCTCTGCAAACCTTGTAACTCCTGCAGTTGTAGAACCCCACGTTCAAACAGGATTGAAATACTGGGTATTTTGCAGCTGTGTGGCTTGAACTGGGGTTGGGTTTTTGGCTCTGTGTATTCTGCCTTGGCTGGCCTGGGCTTGTTTCTTAAAATGCTCTTTTTTCTCTCTTAAAATGCTCTTTTTTTCTCCTGTAGGAAGCTCTTTTTCCCCTGTAAGCAGCTCTCTTTCCCCTGTAGGTTGCTCACATGACCAAGAGTGAGATGCACCTGTATGACACAGCTTTCCTGGGCCCAGCTCTGCTCTTCCTGGACCAGTATTTCAACAGCTTCATCGACGAGTACCTCGTGCTCTGGATCGCCCTGGTGAGTGGGGGCTCATCAGTTCTCTCACTAATGATGGGGTTGCTTGTGCCCAGCTCACCTGCACGGGGCTGGGACAGGGAGGGGACCTGTTTTATTTGATTTTTATTTTAATTTTAATTTTTATTTTTTATTTTTAATTTATTTTTAATTTATTTTTATTTTATTTTTTATTTTTATTTTTATTTTATTTTATTTTTTATATTTTTTTACTTTTTATTTTTCATTTTATCTTATTTTATAAATTTCATTCTTTATTCTCATTTTACTCTCCATTTTATGCTCCATTTTATTCTTAATTTTATTCTTCACTTTGTTCTTGATTTTATTCTGATTTTATTCTCCATTTTATTCTCCATTTTATTCTCCATTTTATTCTCCATTTTGTTCTCCATTTCATTCTCCATTTTATTCTCCATTTTATTCTCGATTTTATTCTCAATTTTCTTCATGATTTTCTTCTCCATTTTGTTCTTAATTTCATTCTTCATTTTATTCTTCATTTTTAGGTTATTTTAATGGTTTTTTTAAGTTATTTTAGGGTTTTTGGTTTTGTTTTTTTTTAATACCATTTATGTGGGGGAATTCCCCCTCCCCCAGTAAAATATTCTTATGAAAAGTGAGAAATTTGGATTCCTTGAAATATCTCGGGATGATGATGATAATAACTATAAACTATTATTAAATTATTATATTATTATATTTAACGATATTATTCTATTATCCAGGAGCATATTTATGATTAAATATTAATTATTCTAGTAGTATTAATAACAGCTAGGAGGATATTATTAATACTATTTAACATTATTATTATTTATATAATTATATTGCTATATAATATTGATATATTTATTTAATATTAAATAATAATGATGATGACAGAGGTAAGGGGGCATTTCCCAGGATCTCTGGAGCTGCTGTGACTCTTTTCCCTCCTCTGACTGGAGAATTGAGAGTCAGAGGCTGGAATTGTGTTGTCACAGGGCTGGAAGAAAGCTCAACATCCCCAGAAACTGTTCCTGGAGTGACTCCCCATCCCCCGGGGGTGTCCAAGGCCAGGCTGGATAACCTTGGAGCCCCCTGGGATGGTAGGAGGGGTCCCTGCCTGGGGCAGGCCTGGGAAGATCCCAGAGCTCTTTTCCAACCTGGATGAGCTCTGAGGTCCCCCCAGCCCAACCAGTCTGCGATTCCAAGAGTATTCCCGGAGATCTGAAGGTTAAATTAATGCAGACCAGCCCCGCTGCTGAATCCCGGAGCGTGTGGGCCTGTCCCGCTGCGGGGGGAATCCCGGGAAGGGGATGTGAGCGTGTCCCTGGCGATTCCGGGAAGCGGGATCCGAGCGTGTCCCTGGGAATCCCGGGAATAGGATCGGAGCGTGTCCCTGGGAATGCCGGGAATGGGATCCCAGCCTGTCCGTCCCGCAGGTGCTGTCCCTGCTGGACCTGCTCCGCTACTGCGTCAGCGTCTGCTCCCAGATCGCCGCCCACCTGCACATCCATGTGTTCCGCATCCAGGGCCGCCCCTCCCACTCCAACCACCACTAGGGAACCGGGAGCCGCCAGGAAAAACAGGAAAGGGTTGCTCTCCTGCGTGACCGGGTGACGGAGGAGAGCGGAGGCGCGACGAGACCCAAGTAATTAATAATCGCGATCACTTTATCTGACTCTGGCTCTGGGACCGGTGACACTCCCCGACAGTCTCCTGCCTCGGGAGAGCCCATTCCAGAGGCAGCTCCGCAGTCAGCCCTGTCGGTTCCGGGCCTGGGAACAGCACGCAGGGATAACGCTCTGTCTTTGTGATTCCCTTGATTCCAAATTAACTCTCTGGCGAACGGATCCCCACGAGTCTCTAACGTAGTGTCAGTGCAGCCAGATCTGCTTTGGGTTCTAATCTCTCATCATCTCCTAGTGAAATACTCCCGTAGTTCCACTCAGATTGATTTTACTAAAGACCCGAGCTGGTTAAACACACAAACACCCTGAGGTATCTCACTGCCTTGCCTTGGAGCCCGGGCTGGGCTGGTTTTTCTTTTTTTTTTTTTTTT